CCCCCATCTCCCACAGCACAAGTAAACAAGTACACAACGCATAAGGTAAACAAACAATACCAAAGAATGTTCCCCCAATCTCCCCACTAAATAAGTAGTAAGGAAGTGAAGAACACAAAAAAGATACATGAGGGGGGGCACCATGTATATATATATATATATATTTTTTTTTTAATTAGATTCACTCTGATCGAATATTGAAATTAATTCATCTTTTTACCTCTAAACCTATTCTGTGGATTCTTTTCTTATTGATGGAGAGGGGGTATCTCTGTGTTACCGTGAATTTGGCAATGACTTGGACAAACATGTCGATTCTCCTGCCGGGGAAGTACCCGAGTGGACGCAGGACGAGCGCCACTGCAGACGGCAGTCGCACCCAGGCGTTGTGTCACTCAGCAGTAGTAGTAGCCGTCGTCGTCGCCGTAGAACCGTGGTAGCAATAGTCGTAGTCGTAGAAGAAGAAGTAGAAGTAGAAGTAGTAGTAGTCGTCGTCGTAGGAGCAGTAGGTGCAGTTGTAGCAGTAACTATCCTAGCATTAGCACTTGCACTCGCACCAGCACCAGCACTAGCAGCAGCATCAGCAGGAGCAGGACAGCCGTAGTGGTAGCAGTAGCCGCTATCGGTAGCTGTATTAGATAAGAACTTGAATAGCAGTGGTTGTCGTCGTCGTTTGATCGTAGTCGTCGCCGGTGTACTCGCATCAGCAGGATGCGGAGTAGCAACAGTAGTGCGAAACAGTTTGTGTGATCAACACCGGCAGACGACAAAGGTAGAGCTTGTATATTGAGTCATAAGCCGTGGTCTTGCAGCATCTGACGAGTATCGGGCACAGGCGGGCCTCTCAGACCAATTCTGGTAAACAATCGCACCGGATCCCAGACGAAATGCTCTAAATATCGGGGAATCTCATGGCAGTCTGGAGTTCAGCGTTCAGTTGGGACTGTACAGAGCCAGCCTACCGGGCCGATGGTGCAACTCAAAGGGCAGATGACAGAGCCGCGTGTCGCAGCAGTAGGCTCATCGCAAACACGCCTCCGAAGATGCCCCTGCTACTTCAGTAATTGGGTTTAGGGCCTTGAGGGTTTAGGGTTTAGGGTTTAGGGCCAAAGTTTAGGGTTTAGTTCAGAAGAAGCCTACGAGCAAGTAGCAAGCACCAGCCTTTTTGTCATCACCACAATCGCAGCAGCATTAACTTCAACAACCGTACGGCGAAGGATCTTCAAAAGAAAGGGTTAGAGTCAGCTGAAGCCTGCCTTAGTTGTGGAGCCTGCAGGTTTGGGGACTTCTTGTTGCAGCGTACCTCCGGAATCCGAGCTCATGCTGTGTTCGCACCTTAGCACCGGGACAGCCACGGAGTCTCGTCAGCACGCAGTTCTTCGGCAAGGCGGCGGGAGCATCTCGAGAACTGGTAGCTTTGCTTTGAGGGTTTCTGAGGAAACTCAACGTAGAGCTATGCGTCACATTCTCAGAGCTCGCCAGGTTCAGCGTGGGAGACATCCAAATCATCTTCCGGCCACGCCAGAGTGCGCAGGCATTCTTAAATTGTGGCAGGGAGATGCCTCTGAAGTAGAGCCATCTCATTGTCCCCATGACAGAGTGCAAGAGAGAGCGATTGAAGGGAAGAGTCACACTCGAATCAGACACTCCCGTTTGTCTTTGACTCGACTTGTCGGTGCAGGCTCTGTCTCTGGACTCGCGGCCGTGGCACCCGGTGAATTCTTGCATGCATTTGCTGATAGTGCAGTCTGGCGTGCAACTGCAGACTGCAGAGGCCTCGGGTTTTGCAATGGACGTCTTGTAGGCGGGTTGTAGAGCCGCAAGTTTCAATCCAGTCACGCGCTCTCTAAGGCTGTGTAGGATGAAGCCGGTAGGCCAAGCTAGCAAAGGGGGTGGGGCAGAGTCCCCGATGACTCGAGGCTGCAAGAGGATCCTGGATTGGGCATTGACCTTTCCAGCGCAGACTTGGAGGTCCAATCGGAAGCAAACTGCACTTTCGTTTCCTCGTCGCTCGCTTGTGGCAGCTGTGTGTGAGCTCCATCTTTGTATCCCAGGGTGCTGCGGCTCGTGCATAGAGTCCGCGCTCCAAAAGTCCATGCCTCCCAGGTCACAGACGGGCCGCAGCTGATCAAGGAGGCCGGTGCCCCACTGCACTGACGCCCTCCTTCGTTTTGCCTCTGCGTGCCCGTCCTCGACTTCAAAGCCCGCAAGACCTGCAATCGAAAACTCAGGAATCCCGCTTTCTCTTGCCCGATCCGAGCTCCGCGGATGGTTGGGTGGCATGTGGGGAACTTCATGCAGCCTCTGAACCTGACCAAGTCAAGCCCATTCCAAATGTGATTTACTCGAACATACTGGACGAAACTCCAAGATACTGCAAGAGCAATCAGAAAGTGCAGTGACCTGTGCACAAGTATGCAAAGGCCCAAAGCACGACCAGGTTCTTCTGCTGCGGCCTGCAGTGTCTCGTCTGGCCCTTGCTGCAGACTTTGCCGCAGGGCGGCTCTTCGGGCTCAGGCTCCCAACTGATGGCCAAAGGAGAGATGTTTTAAATCCCGTGCATTTCTAGAAGAAAGCAGGGTTCTCGGTGAGTGAGAAGCTTCGTCGCGGCGCTGCATCACAAGCCTCAGTGTGCCTTAAGATCGACTGATGACCGATGGCTCTCAACGCCCATGTTGGGAAAACTAGGACCTCCCCAGCAATCCTCTATAGCCGAGCTCAAAGCAGTTCCGCCTGGGCAGGCTTCGCAATGTGAAGAACCCGGAGGCACGGTGCCAGAGCGCAGTCAGCCCCGGCATGACGGCAATGTAACCATGTTCATGCAGTAGTCAAGTTGGATCTGTGTTTTCTGACGATGATGATGATGATGATGCCTTGCCTCAAGCCCGTGACACACACAAACACACACGCACACACACACAAACACACACAGACTGCTTGGAGGTCATAAGAAGACAAGCAGACACATACCGTGCACCTTAGCGCCTTGATTCTTGCTCTCAAGGTCTAATACTCCACACGATGCGAGTGGAAAGCATGTCCTTCATGAACCGGTCGGTAGTCGATGTGATGTGACTTTCACTCGTTTGTGCGGAAGACAAGCTTTCGTCTGGATGTGAACTCTTCCTCTTTCGCATGAGGAAGCAGGAAGCCAGAGCAGACAAGGCTTTTCACACAGCTTTCGTCGTATTGAGTGGAAGCATAAACCATCTCAAACTCCAATAGACAGCTCTTGGGCCCAAACCCATGTACAAATCTGTGTCAAGCCTGTCCGCTCTAATTCCCGTGGGCAACTTCAATTCGTCCTTCAAGCGGAGAGGATGACTATTGTTCTTGTTCTTCATTAAAGACAACATTAGCAACGAGAATAACAGAATAGCCTAGTTTCATGATTACACGAACGCAACGATGACTGCGAATAGCAACAACGAGCAATAGGCAGAATAACAACCAGAATAAATGTATGTACACATAAATCCAGTACCAGGGAAATGACATAGCATTAGCTATACATGCAACAGTTATGCTAAACTGAGTACGAGTAGCAGACTGCTAGCGTGACGGGCTGAAAGTAAGGATTGGATCACATGCATAACTGGCAGCACCCGGCGTCCAATTCCAAGCACCCCCCTCCGAACATTGCCAACTCACCAATCGCTATAACGTTATATGAGGACGAAAGTGATTTATGATCATAGTGGGCATCATGATGAGGACAATGAGGGTCGTCATGATGATGATGGTGGTGATGATGAAGATAAGTATGGTGATGGTTCGCAAAGATAACGTTGCGATCAACATGGGCATCATGCGGATGACAGCCACGCCCATGATGACCACCGTGCAGGTGACGTTGATGATCCTGATGATAATAACTTGGGGATAGCATCTTTAAAAAGGGTTGAAGGTTGTCAAGTACATTGACAGATTCGACGATGTTGGCTCATTTGCAACGGTCTACGTGAGAAAAGTATTGACTTTTGTGATGCGCTATCTATCGGTGATGGTGATCTCGGGAACTTGGGCGGGTGCTGAGTTGGCTTATGCAAGATGCCAATATAGGACGTTCCCAATGACGACGGTGATACTGCTGGGATGACGATAATAATTTCTCCAGGGCTGTGAAAATGGTCAGTGCCTTAATCAATCAGTACTTTCACAGGCCTCTCGACCATTAAGAGCACCAGCCACACACCCGAAAGCTTTATTTCTGGATCAAGCCCGAAAGTGTCTAGTCTTGCTGCCGGGGGTACGCAGATGATTGCTTTAAACGGATTTGGGGCGGAGGTTTTTCTTCGACATGGAGCCCTGTGCGAAGCATGTGTTGAACACCCTTGTAGACGAGATCGTTTTCAAGCAAGCGCAGTCCGATTTCACGCCACAAGGAGATGACATCTGTCGGAGTCCTGGAGCCCACCTAGGAACCGCTAAATCTCGAAGTTCAAGCCATGTTCAGGCTTCATAATACATCCCGGATCCTTGGACCTTGGTCGACGTCCTTGAACCTGTTTCCCCCGGTCGACAGGTGCCCGGAAGCGTCCTTTGGACGCTCAGGTCATTCTCACGACCGAGGTGCAAGGATATTGTTCGGAGCGGGCCATGTGATGCATGTGTGATGGCAGGAAGGCAAGAACACACCAGCCTATATCAATCCTTGCAATACACCGAGAGTTTATAAGTCTGAAAGGTAATGCTATGTGTGTGAGTCAGACAGCCCATGCCGAAACGGACCGTGGGCCTCGAGCCAAACCTATGCAGCCCAAGCCGATCCAAAGATGAAGGCTTCGTGGCTCCTTGGTAACAGCGGCCGAGGCGAAGTGGGCTGAAGTCTTTATCTAGGCTTGGAGATTTGTCTATCAATGAGTTTGCATGAACACCACGAAGCCGAGCCGAAGATCCTACTCATGCCGACACTCGGCAGTACTGACGAAAAGGCCAATTCGTGCTGCTGGGTACCAATGGCCCAATGGCTGTGCACAAGGGCTCGTGGCGATGACAGAGTACAACTGTGGTCTGATATCAGCGATGTCGTCGGGGCCTTTGTGCTCAGCCCAACCTTCCCCAGTCGCCTGCCCCGCCCGCGCCCAACCCGCCTTGCAATGGGGATTGCCGAGCAAGCAAGGGCTGTGCGGCCGGGTCAGACTCACGTCGTGATGCAGGTTGGTGATAAAGCCAGGTCTTGTCATCTGGGTTACGCAGGCAGAATCAAAATCGAATCTCGTGTCAGGCTGCTGCCGGTGCCGCCGTGGCCGCTGCTGCTGCTGGCCAGGCATGTGTGCCCACGGCATAAAGGAACGACCGCCACATCTTACCCAACCCTTCTTTGTAATGATGGAGGCCCTGGCAAGTGCCAGCGCCACTGCTGCAGAGAGTGTGGGCCTTGGCGCCCGCCAAAACCTTTGTGCACAAGTCTAGCTGTTTGCCCGGGTGAAGATGTGATGGGTCCTGCGAAACCACCTGTTGTGCCGAGTCCATTATCTGCGAGCCCTAGGTCCACCCCCGCACGAAGCTGCGGCCAGCGAAGTCTTGCAATGGAGGGGGCCTTAGAAATGTATGTTTGGGCTGCTTTCCTACCGTATACAGATAAAGGGGGAGTTCAAGCAACAACAAACAACAAAGATCTGCAATAAATAAAAAAACATCAGGTGGCTTCAACGCGCTTTCATACAGATACAGCGATATGTGCAGACGTATGTTTGGAATGCAGTGTGTATGCAGTATGCCAGAACACACAATATGTATAGCAAGACGACACAGACAGATACAATCCATGCTAACACGCGGCAAGACTGTCAAAGACAGACACAACCGTTTGTAGTGGCATGTCAGGATCATGTCTGTAAGTTTTGCACATTCGCGCTTATACGCATATGTATACACATTCGTTAGTTATGCTCATACCTGCATCTACCTAATTACTTACACCTGCCTGCTTGCCCTGCCTGCCCATCTAGCTGCCGATGTACCTACCCACTAGCTGCTCACTACCTGCTTGCCTACCGACCGAATGGCTTCCGACCTGACGACCTGCTGACGTACCTACCTACTTACCTAAATTGAATATGTTTCAGGCGCAGGCAACTAACCTCAGATGTCCGTTCGACAACTTGATGCCGACACGATACAGGATGGGCGCTGAGGTCGCCCTACGAGGACTGTGATAACCTTTGAGGGAGGAAGATAAGATTTTGTGTGCAGAACTTGTCCGTGCTGGGGTAGCTACCATGGTAAAACTGTCAAGGCAGCACCTGACTCACAGTTGCATAAGAGGTTTCGGGTCAAGGGTCCAGCCCGAGAAACTTGTAAACCATGAGCCTTATTGGGTTCAGGGTTTAGGGTGCAGCGCCCGTTCGTTCGAGACAGTTTTTCGTCGCTCGGCAAAGCGTGGTTTCCATTTTGGCTCTTAGGCTGGACTGGACCACGCAAGGCCGCGACGAGATTGCAGACCCTTTGGCAGCAGAGTTTCGCCGTTGAACTCCACAATGTTGCACATGCAAGGTTGGCAGTAAACATTTGCGGTGCTTTGCTTGTCTGCCGCGTGTTGCATGGGGTGATGTGCGATCTGAGGAGCTGGAAGCCACTCCGGTGCGTGGCCGGGTGCTGTGAACAAGGGTAAGCCTATCCTTTCAAGCTAGGTCTTCACGGGAGCGTCCCATATCCTAGCCGTCTCCTTGAACTTGTTTCGGAAAGATGGCTCCAAAGGCAGGTGGATAATGCGCGGCTATTTTCCGTCCTTGTTCAGATCTGGCCTTAGGAGTTCGTAAGACCTTAGCCCTTGTTCACCACCCGACTCAAAAAGATTTCGAGTCAATCATAAGCCTTGGTTGCAAAGAGTGGAGTTCGAATTCCAAGGTCTGCTGCAGATTCTCCCCAACAGCCCTTTCTTGGAGAGCAGCTTCTTCGATTTTCCAGACACAGAGGTCGCACCGACGCTGTTTGATTAATTCCGGCTTTGTGAGTGGCATTGGACACTGGAGTAATGGAGAGATTCCAGATGTTCAGATCATGATGAAGGTCATCATCATCACCATCACCATCATCATCATCATCGTCATCATTGGCGTCATACTATCATTACTGAAGTTTCTAAGTTTCTATCGACCAATTTGTCTTCTGCGCTGGCGGCAGTTCCAAGTGCAAGTATCATATATATACATATATATATATATATGGGAATACTAGAATATATAAATAGGCGTAATCAATCCTTCGGACAAGGCGAGAGATAGTTTCACCGGTAGAAGAACTATTTTATGAACGTGCCGTTAATACAGAACGGGCCAGAGCATGTCACAAACCATCGCATCGTTGTCGTCATTTTTGAAGCCCTTTCTTTGGCCTCGGAGCCGGGGGTTGGGGCTTTCGGGAAGGTGTTTGTTGTTGGTTTACACGTAGGGTGTGGGTTTTTGGGGGGCTTTTAGGGTTCGGGGGTTTAAGTTTAGGTTTCAGGGCTTTGGAGGGCACCTTCCGCTTTGCAGGTCGCCTTTTCGATGGGAGTCCTGCCTGGACAGGCCGAGTTTGGCTGGGTTTTTGCTCTGGCCCTTGCCTTGCATGTTGTGGTTGGCGTTGGTGATTCCCTTGTTGGTGACTGTCGTGGTAGGTCTGAGGGTCTGAGATGGAATGACATCAAGTTTACTACCAGCAAACTCAGCTGTCTTTCGAAAGTGCTAGTCTATTCCAGGAGAACCTGTACACATGTCACGAACTGCCAATGTACTCGGCCTTGTTCAATGCTGACTGCAATGGACGACATTTGTTCTGGAAGGCCTGATCAGGACTGCTGTAGGAGCGAGATGCTTGCCGGCGGTTCTGTTGCATGGCAACTCAAGAGCTGTGTGTATGTACATACACAGGTATGTGCATATACAATATATACATACATATGTAAATATGCATAGATAACATATGCTTACATAGGTAAACATATAATATGCACGAGTACGTATGTTGGATTTACTGTATGTATGTACGTATGTATGTACGTATGTATGTATGTATGTATGTAGGTATTTATGTATGTATGTCGAGATGTTCGTATGCAGGTATGTACAGTATGCACGGTATGTATGTATGTCAATGTATGTATGTATGCATGCATGCATGCATGCATGCATGCATGCTGGCATCTATGCATGTGCTTATGTAGGTATGTAAGTAGGTGTGTGGGCATGTCTTTATGCACGCATCTCTTTGGCCAGCTGTCTCTGTCTTCCAGCCAGCGATGTGTAATTCGGTAAACGACTGCATGTGCAAACATGTACACACTAAAAGCTACACGAGTGTTGGTTGATGGTGGGCGTATTGATATGCCTATATGTGCACGTGGGTATGCGGACGCACGCTACGCGGATACTCGCTAAGCGGATACTGAACTCAGGCGCATGCACACGCAGACACGCATGACTCATACACTGAGAGCAGACACAGAGACAGAGGGAGATCTCGATATTGCTGCTGTATCTTAGGAGGTGATTTTCTGTTGCGTGGGGGACGCGGGCACACTCTCCGCATCCCTGACTGTCCAGGCAGATGTGGGGCAGCGCTTTCTGATCTTTGCGCCGGCACCTGAGGACAGTGCTCTCCAAGAAGCCTGGTGTTGAGATGAAGAACCACACGCCTGCGGGTATGTAGGTATGTAGTTAGGGTATGTAGGTATGTAGTTAGGTAGGTGGGTAGGTAGGGAGGTAGGTAGGTAGGTATGTAGGTAGGTAGGTAGGTAGGTAGGTACGCTGGTAGGTGGGCAGGTACTTTTGTAAATAAGCATGTATGTATGTTTGGTTGAAACGGCCACTTTCATTCGCTCTTGATCGGCATAAGCAATGCATCGGGCTCCAGCGAAGCAAAGCAGATGTAGAAAGCTGCAACTCTCTTTGGAACCTTAGAAGCACTGCACCCCAGATCCCAAACCCCGCAGCCCAGGCTCCAAAACCTGCAGACCCAAGCTCCGAGAGCAAAGGTAGGACACCCGTGGCATTCCTTCATACATGTCCCTTTTATAGATACACAGATGCAGATGTGTTTGTTTGCATTCGTATTCAATCTCCAGCATCCAGTATGTTATAGGATAGATATGTCATAACACAATTATACAGTGTTCGATTCCATGGCTCGAAAACACTATACCTTTGGCGATGTGCGCGACGGCAACGCTGCGCTGCTCGGGAAGCGGCCGAAGCTTCCGATGCTCAGCTAGGCGGCAGCCTCACTAGAGCCAGTGACACCCTTCTTATTGCAGAGCGCTATGACAGTGGTAGGGGCTTTGTGGTTGTGGTTGTTGTTGTTGTTGTCGTTGTTGTTGTTGTTTTCGATTTCGTCTTAATACTATTGCTCTTACGTTTGGCATTACTAGGAGAGTTCTTACTTGTACTACTAGTGCTATCATGGTGATTCAAGTATCATTACTATTAGTAGTAGCATAACTATTCTTCTTATAACACGAATCATGATTATGATTATTATTACGATTATTATGATAATAATAATCTACTATTATTATTGTTCATATATTATGAGTCTGATTGTTGATATCGTCGTCGTCGTCGTGGTGGTAGTAGTAGTAGTAGTAGTAGTAGTAGTAGTAGTGGTAGTGGTAGTGGTGCTGGTGCTGGTGCTGGTGCTGGTGCTGGTGCCTCCTGTGAACACAGCCATGTCTGAGAAGTGGGAAGTGCAGAAGGTGTGGGGGAATTCAAAATTTGCAGATACACTTTTTGGATTCTGGAAGGCCCGAATCCTCGTGAAAGGTCATGACTGTTCTAGAAGCAGACGGCGAGGCAATTACAGCACTGCGTTTGGGTGGAGCTTCGGCTCAAAATCTGCGACGCGTCTCCTTGTGAGAGGTCTCCACTCTGCGGCGTCGCACCACGCCCCAGGCGCTTCGCGTGGCTTTGTTTCCGAACAATGGCATCCATCCTTGTTTTGCAGTGTAGCGGTTGGACGAAGGTTTTCGCTTGCATCTGAGTTGCTCAGCGTTCGAGTCTACAGAGTCTAGCAGGTTCTTGGAGTTTCTTTTGACAGTCGCGGGCCCTGGCGTGCATCCAAGGTGGTGCACCGCCCTTCGGCTGCTGCGCCGTCTCCTTTCGGCTGGCTCTCTCCGTGTTGCCAGCCTCCAGGAGGTCAGGGTCTTTCATAGAGACGAAAGCGGTTTTAAAGGGATCCGATGGTTGCACCTGGAATCAGCGTCCAGGTGGGGAATGGCTGGGTTGGATGTGGTGTGCTGACACTGATGTTCGTCTCGAGTGGGCCCTTGTGGAATCGAGGGGTCTGGATGGGGAATGGCTGGCTGCCACTGATGTGCGTTCGAGCGGCTTGTGGAATCGAGACGTACGGTTGGTGAGCATCAAGATGCGATTTCTCGCAATTGGGGGCATGGCATTCGTGTGCAGTTATGCTACACTCTTCCGGCTCCACATCTACATGCGCGTTTATTTCATTTGTCATGTCCTCGCCATGAAATTCTGGACTGATGATTTCTTTGGTAACTGGTGGATGGAGGGCATGGAGGTGGTGGAAACCTTTCGAATCCTTTTGAGCCCTCGCGGCTAGGTTTACATTCTGATGCTCATTTCAACCTCAATGACTCAACGCGCCCAGAGCGGTGACGGGTAAACCCCTGTCTGGCTTCCTCTGAGCTAGCTGAGTGCATGGAGAAGGCAGCCTTGACCTGTGCCTAGAAAACCTGTTCTGCAACTGTCACCTAAATCCTAAGCCCGAAATCCTAAACCCTAAATGCTAAACCCTGAATCCTAAACCCTAAACCCTGAAGCCGAATGCCCTCCACAGGTGGAGCGGTGCCTCGCAGATGCCATCCGAGTGCTGAGGCAGCAGGCGAAGGCCAGGAGTTGCTGGAGGCATCTCTCGGGAGTTTTTGGCCTTATGAGGGTTTAGGGTTCAGGATTTAGGGTTTTGGATGTTTAGGTGCTTCGGATTTAGGGTTTAGGGTTCAGGATTTAGGGTTTAGGATTTAGGTGTTTAGGATTTAGGGTTTGGGGGTTGGGGCTTTGGCAGGTTTCAGGAGCTGCAGGCCATGGGCATTTCGGTACGGAGGAAGACCGCACCTTACTGTAAACGGTGATGTCTTGGGAATCATGGCTTCGAAGCTTGACTATGACTATACTCGAATATACTTCCCAAGCCTTATTCTCATGATTCAGGCCCATGTATCAGGCTCCTAAACGGTCCTATACCTCAAATCCCAAATCCAGATTCACAGCTGAAGTTCTACGGAGTTTGGTGGCAGGTTTTTGTAGTTCCAGGGGCCGGTTCGAGACCGCATCGGGATGCTACTTAAAGGAAAGTGGAACTGGTAACCTACCTTTAAGGGCAAAGAAGCCTAGTTTTACGAATCGTAGAACTTCAATTGGTAGGGTACATGTTGCGACATTAAAAGGGTGCCCGGCAGTTTAGCACGCTGGCGGCAACCCTAAACCCCGAAGCCCCTAAACAAGGACCCTCAGTCCCTGAGCCCTAAAACACTGTGTATGCCCCTCGGAGTACGTCTTGCCTGACTGGATGGAGTAAAGAGGCTACTGCACTTAACAAAAAAGCACGTGAACAGAGACCCTGAAGCCCTAAAGACCCAGCCATCGTGCGCCGGAGGCCTCTGTGTGCCAGCAAGAGATCCTCGGGTGTCTGTGGCACTCGCCTCAGTCGGAAGTTCCACCCGATGCATCCGTAAAGTTTACAGCCTGTTTATATACATATGCAAGCAGATACATGTACGTACATATATATATATATAATACACACAGACATACACCTATACACACGTATGTATGTATAAATGCATGTATGTATATATGTGCACATATTATATATATATATGTATATACCTGCATACATTCATGTTAAGATAGAGATATAGATACAGATGTCAGCCACTGAAAGAAGTGAATACGCAAACACATTTATGAACGAGCAAATATACATATTTGTTGATCGGTAGGTAGATAGACAGACAGATAGACAGATGGATAGATGAATGATAGCTAGCTAGCTAGCTAGCTAGCTAGCTAGCTAGCTAGCTAGCTAGCTAGCTAGCTGGGTATATACTTTTTAAACCTGGGCATATACATGCATACAGGCATTCCTGCGTGTATGTGT